CTCTAAAATAGTTAATTTTAAAATTTTCAGACAAAAACTATAATAAAATTACAACACAAAATCTTATAAACATTGAGGTGTTGTTTGGGATTTGAATGGGCTATAGTCCTTCCTATAGAGGTAATTATTGTGGGCCTTATTAAAAGCCCATATGTGACCAATAACCTCTAGGGTTTCTTAATCGCCGTTGGTGACCTTTAAATATGAACCAGACATAACTTTTAGTCACCATCTCTCATCTTATCGGCGACGCAACTCAATTTAGGTTTCTCTGTTCAATTCCGTTATGTAGATCTTTAGATTTTGAGCTTTGAAGTTTTTTTTAATGTGTGTACAATGGTGAATTAGATCAGTTGATGAGTTAATACTGCAACAATATGATGGAGAAAATCTTCATGATTCTTAGTATTTAAGTCTCTGATGATCTAAATAGTTTATTTCCCTTTTGCTATCTTGTGTTCTTCGATCTGGTTTCGCTTCTTAATTTGGTCTTCTTTTCTTATTTCGATTTGTGTTTGCGTTTTTTTGTTACTGTGATAAGAAGTAAGAGATATGATGATCAAACAATTTGGTCCGTGTTTCTGATTAACCGTGACCGATAATTTTATTAACCAAACTCTGATCTTAACTTCTTCTTCCCTTTTGCTCTGTTTTCCATTTGGTCTTATTCTCTTTTACGACTGTGTTGTCTTTTGATTGGTGTGATTAGGAAAGAGATATGATGAGCAGCAAATTGGTCCGTGTTTCAGATTAACCGTGACTGAGAATTTCTTAACCAAACTCTGATCTCTGAGCATCTGCTTTCAAATGAAAAATTGGATTTTTAAATGTTTTTAATTGTTCTCTGGTTGTTTTCTTCTTCTACGGTGATGAATTTATGAAATATTCACATGTCAGACTTCAGAGATTCTTGTAATCGATGAGAATACATTCATATTTCTGAGCAGAAGACAAATTCATCAAACCTAAATTTGACAGTTAATTCAATGAGACTACTCGGAATATGTGAGTATTCATCAAGCCAAATATATGACCCTTTAGTACAAAGAGACTCTGCATAATATGTGAATGTTACTTGACCAAAATTGTTATTTGCATTGTATTAAACCATATTAAATCGAATTGAACCCCAAGTAATACAAAACCATCTATAACACATCGTAGGTTTTATTTATGAAATATTCACATGTCAGACTTTCCTATTTCTGAGCAGAAGACGAATTCATCAAACCTAAATTTGACAGTTAGTTCAATGAGACTGTATATGCGGAATATGTGCATAATATGTGAATGCAACATTTTGAGAAAAGCATTGACTCAAATTGGAAGACCAACTCTCTTTATAATATTTTTACAAAACGAATATGATTTTATAATTTTACTATCAATAAGAACTTATAAATCTCAAATTTCATCAGATTTCAACAGGCAAAGAGTTTCTTCGTTTAATGTCAAGACTCAAGAAACTGTTGCAAAACCAAAAACAAAAACAAAATTTGTCTTTCGACGTGGCAACACATCACACATCAAAAATTAGTATTAGATCCCTTTTTGTCTCCTAATTTTTCTTACGTTTTTGTGTTCTTTTTGGGTTCTCATGTAAGTAGTGGATGGAGATATTCCGTAAGGCAGCGATTGTACGGCTCCGTAGCCACAACGACAAATACCTAATCGCCGATGATGATCAAGAATCCGTTCATCAAGACCGTCGCGGCACAACAAAAAATACTAGATGGACGGTCGATATCGTCCCTGGTTCCACTGTGATCCGTCTTCAGAGCTGTTACGGCAAATACCTTACCGCCACTAATATCCATTTCCTCCTTGGAGCCACAGGCAAAAAGGTATAATTACGGTTTCTTGTAACCCAAGAAATCTTCCAAAATGAAATTAGGTTTTGGTCTTCTTATTGATTTCTTCACAAACAAGGCATTCAAATCCGTACGTAGCATTTGTCCAAGATTTGATTATTTCTTTACCTTTTTGTTTATACGTTAGAAAAATATATGGTTTATAATCAAACGAAAACACTTTATTGAAATTTATGTTATTCACAAGGAAACCCATATAATCAACAAATATAGATCCTTTCCAATGCGATTAGGTTTCTTGCTAAACAATCTATGTGAGTGTTTTATTTATAAATATATAGGATTGTTTGTGAAACAAGGTATTTCAAACCTTGGCGGAAAAGTTGGATTCATCGGCGGAGTGGGAGCCAATATCGGACGATGGTGTTCATGTAAGGCTCAAGAGTCGGTACGGACAATATCTAAGGGCAAACAAAGGTTTACCACCATGGAGAAACTCTATCACACACGATATTCCTAGCCGTACGGTCACACAAGATTGGATCTTGTGGAGTATTGATGTTCTTCAAATCCGAGTTATCAAAGATGATGCAGAATCTACCCATAGTTCTTCCACATTTTCACGGACCGAGGTACTAAACATATACCAAGACTGGTCTTCTACAAATACTGAGAAGTATCATAAAACGACCTCGTGAAACGTTATTAAAACTTTTCCTATATATTGATGATTTTATGATGTATTTAAGTTATATATAACCAGTCAGGTGACTCGTCTATTGTGAGTTTTCCACTAAAATCCGAAGGAAGGCTGATAAATTACGAGATCGGAGATGATTGTGGAAGCATTAATGAAGAAATGGGAAAAAAATCATTGATCTTCCATGGAAGCGAGGTAGTAGAGTTAAAGAAGAGACTAGAGGAAGAAACAGGGATCAAAGATGTTACGGTTTGCACGAGAAACCCTTTGAATGAGAAGCTTTGTCCTCTTCAATTGCACCTTCCTCCAAACAACACAACAATGCACATCATCGTTGTTCCTAATTCTTCACTCGGTACGAATTTCTTTTACTACTCTTCTCAAGTTTATTATAGCCGATTATTGATTTTTTTTTTTTATATTCAAAATCTTTGTTCCAAGTTTTTTAATACGATAATCCCAATTTCTAATATATTGTAGAATACATTTGAGACACTCCTTTCCAAAATTCTTGTTCTGTTTCGAATATCAAGTAACAAACTTGTATACGACACATACTTTTCTCGAAAGTCTCATTTTACGTCTCGTTAACACCAATTTTCATCATTCCAAGCTTTTTTTTGTAGTAGCTAACTAATTATAATATTATGTTATTGATTCTTTTTTGTTTGCTTGCAGAGATTGACAAGTGATGGTAAATTAG